GAGCTGATGCCAGCGAGTTAATTCCCCCTCAGGCGCTCCGGCTGGCTGGAGGCGGCTCAAACCAGAACAGGTCTTTGAGCAGTTAATCTCCCAGGGGTCACGGTGTAACCTTGGGCTCGGTGTAAACCTGCCAGGGACTCCGGTGAGGGCGAGGGGGAAATGGCACTCCCAGCTGGGAACAGAGAGAATGGAAAGGTCATTTGGTGTCTCTGGGTGCAGCCAATTCTCCATCGGTGCCACAGGGCAGCTCTAGAGAGTGAAGCCATTCTGTCCAGCCGGCCGTGAATCCATCTCCCGGGCCGGCACAGGGTCACAGAAAGCAGGGGCCTCGCTCCAGCCTGCTCTCTGGTTTACCTGTTCCCTTCTGCTATGGAGCACATCTCTGGGCTCCCTGCTGCCTTGGGCCTCTAGATGGCTTGTTGTAAAGGTCCGGGGGGTTCGGGGCGCCGTCCCGCCAAGGCCACCTAACCATCAACAGGAGCCGTACCCGGTGCCCCTTTGCTTTGGCCACAGGGCGTCAGCAGCCGGGTCCTGAGCTGCTAACTGGGGGTGCTTCCCCTTACCGCTCTGGGAGGTTTCAGCTATCCCCAACCCAGGCCTTATCCCTGTGAGCAGCCTGGTGCCTCTGATGTCAGCACAGTGATCTCTGCCTGACACCTCCGGAACGGATGAACCAACAACCAAGGTACCCCTTACTTACAAGGGGAAACAGAGGGAAGCCTGTAACGGGAAGGGGAAGATGGATTTGTTGTGGGTACATCAGTCCCACAAGACAACACCCAGAGCACTGGAGTCATGAGTCCAGGTTAGTCCGTAAGGTGGAGGAACCTGCGTACCTGGACGAGGCGTCACAGGCCTGAGGGTGCCCGAGTGCGGCGAGGTGCTGAGGGGCCGATTCGCCCAGGGCGAACCTCTCTGCAACAGCAACAGGCGTTACCCCTCCTCAGTGCCTCTGCTCCGCTGTGCAGCACATGTGACCCATCAGGTACCAGGGCCGACCACACGGACCATTGTTGTCTCCTTGTTTCCTTGTGCTCTCCCCTTGCTCTGGCTGGCCCCGCCACAGTCTCGTGGCTCATACGGAGGCGGTCAGCCCTTTGGGGCAGGCCTGGCCTGTTCTGTGTTTGAACAGCACCGGGCACACCGGGGCCCCTGGGCACCATGGTAACAGAAATAGCAGCGACGCTGGGTCTCTAATTGCCTCCATAGCATGGAAAGCCTCCGGGCCGGAGCCCTTCGGAGCCGAGGGAAGAGAAGCGCCAGGACGCACTGCGCCACGCCAGGCAAACTGGTAAAGCCGCCGTGTCGGGAGCTAACAGGACCCACGAGGGAAGGGATGCGGTTTAGCGGGCGCTGGCCAGTAGCTGGAACACTGGTTGCTCCCAACAGCCCAGGGGAAGCAGAGGGGCCGACTCTTTGGAGCTCTTTGGAGCTCAGCTATCAGTACGGTTCCAAGTGCTTCTTGGGCCGACAGGTGCGTCCCGTGGGCTGAGCTGGGCAGAGGACAATTGGCTCAGATCCCCGTGGAGACACTTTGAGGTTCTGCCCTTCGCACCGCGGCCATGGGCCTCATAGGGCCAGCTCTGACTCTCTCCTGCCAAGGCAGACGGGACAGCGGGTTCTCCTTCACAAGGGGCAGTCTGATTAGGGCTAGGGGTGCAGCCCCCTTGCTCAGCGGGGCTCTCTGTGGCAGTCTTCAGCCCTGCCAAAGTCAACTCCCCCAAGCCCTTCTAACAGGCCTGGGTCCGCCATGGGGAGGGGTTTGATGCTGGCAACTCGTAACTGGTCCTTTCCTGTATCCCATGTGTGGGCAGCACACAGGGTCCTCGGCAGGCGGGCAGCCAAACAATGGACTCTCCCAGGATTTCCTGGCTGCGGTGGAAGAGGAAGCACTATTTAGCATGTTGCCTGGTATTATCTGATATCTGTATCATCATAGCACCTTGGAGCCCCCGTCATGGACCACAGCCCTGTGGTGCTAGGCGCTGTACAAACAGAACACAAGTCGCTCCCTGCCACAAGAACTGACAACCTGCCTGCCACTCTTGGGGATTGTCTCAGGTCACCTTAGGCTTCCCCAGATGCCGCAGGGCGACGTCCATGTCCCTATGCCAGTCCCTCTGGTGGAAACGGACCCACCCCCCCGCCGCCATCCTCTCCAGATGGGGATGCAGAGAGCCCTCCGGGAGCTGCAGTGCCGCAGTCCAGCTCCATGTGCTGTCGTGACCGGAGGGGAACGTGAACGGGCACCACTTCAGAGAGAGCGCTTGCTTCAGCTTCACCAGTAGAACCAGAGTCTGCTCCAAGCTAGAGAAACCGGAGCACGCTCCACGCAGCTCTCTAGCAAGGCTATTGAGTGACAACAGCACCAGCCAATGGAAACCAAAGCTAGAAGTTTACATCATCAAAGCCAACTGTCACTGGCTGCTGTGGGGTACGAGGGCTGGACAGTGTTACCGTGATGCAGTTGAAAGGTGCTGAGGCATCGGTCTTCCCCACGG